AAATGATTGACAAACTGCTAAGTCGATCTTGCCCCTGAGTATTACGTAAATATGTATGGATACGCTTAAGTCCAGAGAATGAACGTTCTGCAGATGCCGAGCTAGCGGGTATTGTCACAATTAATTTTGCTAATTTGATTATTTGAGGGAACACTTCGCACATTTTTTTCTCATTACAAAATCGTATGACTTCATAAACATTCATGCCTTTGAATTCTGATGATGAATATAAACAATTTAGCTCATTTTTTAATCTCTCAAAATCAAATTTTAATCCGTATTTTATTTTTAATTCCTTGAATACTTCTTCTGGAAATTTATTTTTAAAAGATTCGAAACAATCTGGATCCAAAAGGCGGAAAAATTGTAGTAGCCTAATTTCCCTGTAGCGATCATCAATTTCGCTTTTGATGTTATCCACTATTTCTCTGAAAATTCACCTGTAGTGCGTCTTAACATCACTCATATTTCGTTTTCTTTTAGGCTCACCATAAGTGTTTGCACATTTTGCATAAATTTTTTCAAATTCCGTGAAGAGATTTTCCAAAAATCGATTTTCCTAACACAATAGCCAATATCAGAGAGTTTGCACTGTATTATACTATATAGTACGTCCGTCTGGGCAAATATTACGTTGAAAATTTCCAAAAAATAATTGAATTCAAAATCTTCTAGAGTAAATAAATACATTCTAGCTGCCGCGAGAGTCTCTCCATTCCAATTAGATTGGTTTTCAAGCATGTCATTGAACAGGTCCTTCAAATTAGTAAGTTCACTAAAAATTGCATTTACCGTTCTGGAATTATAGGCCCATCGAGTCTGAACTACACGTAGCAATTTTTTAGAGCAAAATCGGTTATAGAAGTCAGAACGCTTGGTACTAGTGTGGAAAAATGCACCCAAATTTTTAATTGACCCAAAAAAATGTTTAGTTTTCACGATTCTCTCACAAGACTTTGACAAAACTAAATTCAAAATATAAGCATTGCACCATACGTATATCGCGTCAGGACAAATTTCCCGCACTTTCTGCTGAACTCCATTTTTACTAGATGATAAAACAGCGGCTCCATCGTAGGTCTGAGCTACTAATTTGTCAGTACATTTATAGTCATTTAAAATATCCGTTATTATTTTGGTTAGCGTTTCTGCAGTTCGATCCGGACTTTCGTCGATAAAGCCCATAAACCGATCAACTACCTCATTTGATTCTGTAAAATACCTAAAACTCACACATAGTTGTTCTTTGCCGCTTATATCTGGTGTCTCATCAATCATAATAGCCACGAAGTCTGTTTGGTGCAACTCATTTCGCATTTTTTCGTTAAGTACAAAGGCTATTGCAGATATTAAATCATTTTGTATTCGGTTTGAAAATCCGGAAAAAACATTTCTCTTTTCATTTTCGTTGGATGCGTGTAAATGATCTTCGAGAATCCCATCATAATTAGCTAGGAGCTGTATGCATTCTATAAAGTTGCCCCTGTTGGACGACTCAGTGTTTTCTGTGTGTCCGCGGAATGGCAGTTCCTGCTTTCCCAAAAAACAAGTTATATCAATAAGTCTTCGCATTAGATTACGATTTCTATCGACTTTAGAATTATGTCGCTCTATTCCCTCTTTAAACTGACGAGAAAGGCTCATTTCTATCCTATTTTGTCCAAAGTTACATAAAGGAAGGGCAGATTTTATATGATTCTCAGACTGATCATGTTTTTTTGCAGCATTTGTCAAATTATTCAGGTCTGCGTAACCGGCATTAGTCCACACATTCTTTTCTTTCGAAAATAATAGACATGCCCAACAAAACAATTTGTTAATATGTTTGCAACCTGCAAACCAATTATAATTTTCATAAAACTTATCGCTAAAATACCGATTACAGTTTTTCTTTTGTTGCACAATTTTAAGTGAAGGGGTAGGCCGCCCCGCCGCAATAATGGCATGTTTGTTTTCAAACGTTCTGGTGCTAAACGGAACTGTTTTTAGCCGTTGTAAACAATTTTCACTGTCATCACATTCACACTGCATTTTTATTTTCAAAGTAAATGTCTCCAGTCTCCTACACTAATCAGTTAACACAACAGTTTTGTTTCTGTCAATGTTTTATAGAAAAGGTTTGGCCAAATTATTCTTAAAACACATTATAAAAACTAATATAGGTAATCCGATAATCGACAACGCCGCGAAACGACACGCCAGGTAATACCGAATGCACATGCCTCATGCATCTCGCATAACGCTCAGCGTCGGCGCTCTATCTCTTTTCAACACACTACGCTACATCCATGCCTTTAATTTCGTACGCTTATTATTATCACTGTAGGTGCTGCCTTCGCATCTCGGTATAGTTTCCATGTTATCGCAACGGTCCACCTTACGGCGCGTAAATATGGGCCACCTACACAGGAAGTTTGAAGTGCGCTTAAAAGCAAGATTGCACTATATTTTAGAATCGTGGTAACATTGGCGTTTGCTTTAATAATAATTGCAGACGAAAAGATTGAAATAAAGGAAGTAAAATATTATGTTGTAATTTAGAAGTAGAGTTTTCGCATGTTTTCGATAATTTTACAATTATTGCTAAGGTAGGCAATGCCTTTTTGCCTACATTGATTGCACGCCACTGGTACTTAGTTCTATTTAATCTATGATGTATGATTTATTCACGTTATTACTGAAATATATTTGATAATAAAAGACCCGTTATCAGTTCAAATAGTAATAATTGTCACTCTGTCTATAGAGTCGAGGATCTATTTATCAATTATTTTGTAATCTATTTTTGAAACTACATATATTATCAGGCATTTTTACCGCGCTGCGGTTATGAGACGTTTCCGCTATCTATTAAAGAAAAATTTAAACGTCTCGTTAATGGTTGAATAATATCATTTTATAAATCACATTAATTGGTCGTAACTTTCGGTCGAATACTAATCATAATTACACACACGACACTTTTCAAGCACCTTGTAAACATAGATCAGTTAAACCCAAACAGTCGACTAGTTTTGAAAACTATAAATAAAAATAACTGAATGGTTAATAACATGGGCTATCGAATTACAGGGACTATTCAAAACATCGTCAAGCATAAAGAATTACAATAAAAAAGAGAAATAGTTTCAAATTCAAATGACTGACCAAAACGTAAAATAAATAAAAGACAAATGAGTAGTTTTTCTTTTAAAGAAGTACAACTGAAAAGGAATACATTACTTGGGCCTTGGGCAGTAATATTTCTTTATTCTGTTTCTTGTTTTTTTCCTTCCAATATTTAATTTCTCCAAATCATCCATTTTCCCAACTTTTTCTAGGCCATATCTTTCTTTTGTTTTACTAATTACATTTCTCTTGAAGTACAGAGTATTGGAGGTAGTTTCCTTTTCTCGCACCCAGCTTCTACATTATTTAATTTTTTGAATAATTGCGGCAGCATTGGTTTTTCCCTGAGCCACTAATCGTAATTGAACGCAGCTTATATTTTTATATAGGTATAAAATTACACTATTATCTATAATATTTGACATAAAAATAGTCCCAAAAATATTTTATTGAGCACACGAAAAAAATAAATAAACAAAACGATCATTTATCTAATTAAACGTATCTTTATTACTTACTCTTATCGTTTTATTACATTATTTTATTACTATGATACCATATCAGTTCCGATTATGCGATAAATGTGAGAACAAATCTCAAAATACAATTCGGTACTTTTTTATTAGTATTTAGATGGTGACACTGCAAAATGTTGGGTAGTTCCTTGACCAAATTACACTACTCAAAATATTTATAGGAACACTCACATCAATCTTAACATAAGTGAGTAAAATAATCAATATTTTGCTTTGTAAGGAATATGCTATGGAATATTAAACAAGGTCGACATTTGTATGAGGTAGAATCGTTAGTGTTCATGCTGCTATTAATAGTATGGCTCCAATATGCGACAGATTGCATTAAACATTGAAACTTCCTTTGTTTTACGTCTATAATAAATCTTGGGCTTACAAGCAAAAGGCCAATCTTTTCATCTCTGAGTAAAGTCGAAAGTAACTACTTGCTGATTAAACTATAGGGCTACTGTTCGTTAATCTCTCAAGTAAACCTACATATACTCAGAAGTGAAAATATCGGCCTCAAGTCAAAAATTTGTCAAAATGGGTTTATATTTTTGTATATTATGTAATTCCGAAAGCATGTACCTTTTCTTTGAAGCAGTTAATAATCACTAAATAATTTATAAAAAAATAGAACTTCATTGAAACTTTAAATTGCTTATAACTCATAAACCTTTTGTGTTACTTAATGACTTGCTTATAAGCCCACGAAATGATCTGCAAGGCAGACTCATGGATGAAGCAGTTAGGCATGATTAGATTAAAGGAAGCTAACTCAATACCTAGAAGATCTGTTTAAGCTCGTACTATTAAGGTATCGCTTATCTTTTGATGGTGACCATGCATTGAAGACACTTTTTACAGACAAGTCGTAATTCTACATAATTACATTTTTACACTGCTGACATGCAAGAAGTCGAATAATTTAATGGGACTGGTATGGATTGAGGCGGAATTACGTAAGAATTAATCTTGCAGTAGTTCCAAGCCGATTGAATAGCCGGGAACATTACGTTAATTTTATGCAAAATATTGCCATATTATGGGCAAATGGAAGAACTTCCTTTAGTTTTACGGAATCCAATCCACAGAATGGCTTCTAAGTCGTAATCCAGTATTTTCAGCAACTAACAAGATCTAGTAATTGAATAGTGGGAGAATATGCTATAAGAGGGCATTTAAATATTCATGGGAACTACAACTCTGAGGTGTCAAGCAATTATTATGCTTGCTCAAGGAATATGCTTTGCAGATAACGCTTGCTTTTCACCTTGTTTCTTGTTATTCGAATTGGTGTTATATTAACAGTAATATATTAACGCCTTATTAGATTTGGAAACCGATAATTATTCCTTCGATAATTTTGATAAATTACATTGTGATTCCTCCTGATTTTTCCATCGCAATAAGTTGTTGTATCCCGTTATTCATTTCTCTTATAACTTCTATTTCAGTGATGCCTAATCGCCTCTTGTTGGAAATATCAAGTACTCCACCTTGAGATTCGGTATGCTCACCACCGGTGCCTCTGATTTGCAAATTAAGCACTTTGGCTACCTCTTTTAATTTCTCCATATCTTCCGATATATTGGGCAGTTTAATATGTACCGACGCTCTGATTCCAGTCCCGATATTAGTTGGACACATACTCAAGTACCCGAACCGTTCGTGTTTTTCGAATTCCAAGCAGTAACTGAGGTCCGTAACAGCGTCCGCTAGTCTTTGGTAAACCTCAGCTAAATTACCTCCTTCTTGTAGAGATATGATACGCATATGGTCCTCCTCGTTCACCCACACTATGAACGTCTTGTCTGGATTGTAAAAATATCCTCTGCCTTCCGGCCAGAACCTGTACGCTCTGGCTGCATTTAAAAATCTGTCGCCTTCCTTGTAGAGAATGTGGTCGTTAATCATCTTTTCTATCTCGTCTGGAGTCATATTGATGAGTCCCACGTACTGGCCTAAAAAATAAAAGCAATAAATGATAAAGATAGAGGAAGATGGAAGTCCGTTGACTATTCTAGTGACAGCACAGAAATGTTTTGGGCTATTAGGTTAGAGATCTATTATGGATGGGCATAGCAGTAAAAATCTGCAGACATTAACTTTTTACAAGTTTTTCCACGAAGACTGACCAGAGAAGGGTTATACACAACCAAAGATGGCGCATTATTTTTGGCAATGGTGCAACAAACCCAGTCATCTAACTGCATAAGAGATGCTGTTAATCACCGTTATTACTACTACTATGTTACCTTTAAGATCTCCTTCTAATCGTGTTAAAGCATCAACAACCTTATCTTCAATTTCCAAGTATTGATCTTCGGTAAGACCAGGATTGAAAGGATAGCCTTTCAAGGATCTGGCAGTTCTAACCCTAGTCGAAATAACGTACTTTCCATCTGGATCTATGTTTTGCAACTCGCTGGCATCGCCCCAATCCATCGGAGGATGTATGAACGATTTTTTGAAGTCTCCGTGATACTCCATAATCACTTCGTCGAAGAGATCTCCGAACACGTCGTAACTCTCCGGACAAGCAGCGTAAAGTCCAACAGATGAATCTGGATTTTCAAAGGCTGTTTGGGCGCAATCCAGTAGGGTCATTCCGTAGTTCGTTTTTTTCCATTTCAAGACTTGGAATCGTTCCGGTGTTAGATGTTTGTTTAATAACGATGGTGAACCAGATAAGCGCAGTAGTCTAAACTTGCAGTTTAGTTGTTTGACTACATCTGGATGGGCGTGACTTTTGCCACAACAAATGTTATCGCATTTTATGGTACATCCCATGTTGATGGGATTCAATCCTGAAATACTGGAGATTTTGAAGTATTTTGACAAATGCCACTGTCAGTATTGTTACAATTTGTCATAGACATTACAGTTTTCTTTGCTAAAAATGTATACGCTCTAGTTGAGTTCCATTTAAGATATAATGGAATTGCATTTTGGGGAGGTTGTAGCCGTGAGTTAGTCATTAATGTTTTATAAGAGAATGCCACTAATTACTGTCGACGACATTGGATTGATAAAAAAATATGATATGGACATCAATGCCATATTTGTTGATCATGATGATGATGATGATGATGTTGATTTTCAAGGAATAAAAAGACTGCTTCCGACATTAACAATCATTTCAGAAAATGTAATGGCCTACATATCTGGTTTTGTTGCCAAAACTTAAAAAAAAACATGTTAAATGTTTAAATTGCATGGAGCTTGTTCTGATAGTACTGAGAGAGACAACCTTGCGCTCTTCAGAATAAAAAATCATGGAGGTTTAAAATCACCATCAAAAAATATATTAAAAACATGCACTTTTATCGAGAAAAAACTGTCTACGTCGGATATCAAATTTTATCAGTCGTATACGAGGTTTGTCAAAAATAAAGCTACTTTACTCTTCAGCAAAAATCATATTTTTTGTCAAACCTCGTATACGGCTTTTTTTCTCCTGGGCTCGTCTGACTATGTCTCCGAATAACACTGAAGCCTATTGGCTTATTGTGTTTTACCCCATGTTAGTTCATAGCACCCACTCTGTCACCTTTGTACGTTGTACAAGTTTGTACAGATCCTTGGGTGAATTGGTTCTATACGTTGTTGGATCAACCTGGGGTTGTCCAAAAAGAGCCTGTCTTTTGCGATCTAGAGCTTCGCATTCGCACAGTATGTGTTTGGCCGTTTCTGGTTTCTTGTGACATAGTCGGCACATGAGTTCCCCATTGTACATGCCAATTTTGTTCAAGTATCCCTTTAGTGGGGCGTGCCCAGTCATGAACCCTGTTATCACTTTCAACTGGTTCCTATTCATAAAGAATAGTTCTCTTGAAAAAAATTGATATCTGAAGGTTGCATTTGCAAGTTTTGGACCATGCAGAACGTTTTATCAAGAATATAATTTTTCATAAAAAAACTTAGTGAGACATATTGTATATGAGTGAAATATACAAAAAAAAATATTTTAGCTTTTAAAAAATTAAATATATACAGGGCAATTTATTGGTAAATACACATAAGTTAGAGGCTTGAAGGCGTATATAGGGGACATTAGGGTGGTTCTAAATAATCTATATTTAATGAGCCTCGGATTCTTAATAACCAAGATACAGGGTGATTTATCCGTTTTGCTGTAATAGCTTCAGGTCAACGTGTAGTGTATAAGGCCGGTCATGACATATTAACGTAATAAAAGTAATTACCAAATAAAAACCGAGTTAGGTTAATAGATAACGTTTCTGGCCAATTAATTTCAACCTCACACAGACACATCGTAATTCCAAGATTATTACATAATCCAAAGAAAGATTTTCTTCGAACATAATTTGACGAATCCTGTCTCGTGTGATGAAGTTTAACATAGCGACGCTGTGAAATTAAACAGCAATTAGGCGTAAAGACGCCGCCTTTAGATGCTCTGACCCCGCAAATAGACTAGAGATACTACTAGTCTTAAAATAGAGATACGAAACTCGTTCGTATGTATATGTGGCAGGCGTGCGTTTGTTACCATCTTTATGTGTACCACCGGCATCCTTTTGGTTCTTAATAAAAACATTATTGAATGATTTACATTTCAGAATATTTTTTAGGGGGTTTTACTAATAAGTTTCGCGGTTTCACTAATAGAATCGGAGTTTTTCATACTAATGTATCACTTACTTCTAACTTTAGCTTTTTTCTGACATCATTACAATTTATGTAATGTTTCAATCCAATTTAATCTGTAGGCTTCTCTTTCTCTTATAAGAGCTGCAGCTCAGTTTGGGGCTGGATCTTCATTGGCTTCTAGCGTTCTCTTAAAATCTCTTCCATACTCAGTCTCATATGCATCTACTTGTATTTCCTCTTCATAACGTTTTTGGGGTCTTTCCACTGGTTTATAGATTTTGGCTGTTTGCTTTTCAATCTCCTTTTTATTTAGTTTGCCACTCCACTTCATGCATTAGCCAGAATTGTTAAACTAAGTAACTACAATACACACAGAGATGAGATTAATAGGAAAATCAAAGTATAAATTTGGCAACTAAATTTTAATTCGCTGGATTTATTGGTACTCATCATTAGTCACGAGACTATGCACTATTTCAAAATATGGCAAGTTTATCTCATGATCATAAACTCTTAACAATATAACAATAATTTAAAAATCAACCTTCTACATTGTGACAACAGGTGTCACATTTTCTTTCTACGCAAACAGTACACAGAACGAACCTTGTAAATTTAAAATTATTATTGAATAAAAAACTCTTATCCCATCCGGAATACCTAAGCAATAGTTCGACACGACATCTATCCGAGAATTAGAATTCCATACATGTACGCGGCGATGAAGGCGATTCGAACAGAAGACACGTCCGGACTGTCAACACAATACCACTAGGGGATGTTCTCCAGAAACACTTCCGGCCCTCTAACAATGAGTGGCTACCATCGTTCAACCCCGTGAGTACAAATTGTGTAATTTACACGGCCAATGTGGCTGGAATATTGCCTTACAATTATTATCAATCCGTTACAACTTTTTAAATTTAATTTAAAGATATATTTGTGACGTCATCTGAACGAGCGTGATGACGAAAAACCTTTTAATTAATCAGTGACCAATTAATTTAAAAATATACCAAAATTTCTAAGTTTGGGGTATAGGGATGGTATAAAATACAAATGAAAGCAGACCATAGCTAGGCATGTTTACATTGTTTCCACGTCGAGCTGAAAGGGTGCGATAGTTCAGAAACGTTTATAGCCTTAAACTTAAACTTAGGATATAACTTTTACAATTAATATCCCTGTGAGTTATAGAATTAAAAACATCTATAGAACTAAATAAAATTAAAAAAAATATTCAAATCTTTGTTCAGTATAGCCTGTTTTTACAATTAATATCCCTAATATCCCTGTGAGTTATAGAATTATAAAGAATATATATAGAACTAAATAAAATAAAAAAAATTCAAATCTTTGTTCAATATAGCATCTTTCAATAAAATAAATGCATCTAAAAATAAAATCTTAATTATATTAAATCTCATTATAGAGAGATTATTTCTATGAGTATAAATTTTTTAATGAAGACATTAGAATAAAATGTGTGAATTAATTTATCCACGCATAGCTTATAATTGCATTTTTATTCATTAACCATTGGAAAACGAATGCTCGGAAGTGTCAACATTAATTGAATGTATAAATTACAGCGATAGAATGTTGAATATTAATTAAGGTTTAGGAAATTTGTGCTTTTATTGAATATTTGATAAACGTTCTTGTTTGAAATCAATGATTTTATCGCCTCCTTTGGTAAATTCGGAATGCTATAAAATTCCAGTAATTACTTTTTGTTCAACCTAATTTAGTCAATTAATTTATAATAAGTATTGCTCGTAAGCATTGAAACAACAAATAGTAGTAAGTAATAGTAACAGTAATAGGGCTTTTTTTGTTACGCATACTATTATTGTTGAAAAATTTCAAAAATCATTCATTTATTTTTATAATTATACAATCAGCAGGCTAATGCCTAATTTTAGGTGTATTCTGAGAATCCGAAATTTTAGAGGTAAGCTATTGCTGTTAACAAAGCTGGGTGATGTACAGCCACTAAGGCATTAACTACACAATTGACTTCACAAAATCAGTTGGATGAGCTTAAGACTAAATCTAGAAGACCATTACTAGCATTTATGTTATTTAATCGAAAAACCAAATTTGACTGAGCTCTAATTTCGTAGTAATGTTGAAGTTCAATGATGTTAAAATCACCCAAAATTATTGAGTAACTATTGATCTCATCTCATTCTATGAATTTGAAAAAAACTCATCATATTCGGCTAGTTGTATAATGGGAGGAATGTAAATGTAAATATTCATTGAAAAAAGGTTTATATCTTTCAAAGAATATCTTAACACACAGAAAATCTATAGTTTAAACAGGGACATTGCAAATCACATTTGGCCATTAACTCCACCACCACCACCACCACCACCACCACCACCACCACCACGGATGGCCAAGACTCGATCTTTTCATTACACGATGAAATTTTCTGGAAAAAGTTCACTACTAAAGAAACCTTCAACGAATTTATATTTCATTAAGCTCAATTTCATTGTAATTTGTACTAAGAATATTTGTACAAAAATTGTCTGTTTTTGTATTTAACCCATTGTAATTTTGATAGTAAATACTTAAGTTAATTTTTCAATGTATCTGCTGAGGACTTGCAACCTAAATAAACAGCATTATGAAATTATGTATTCTATCTTTTTTGCGTATGTCTTAAACATCAATAATAATATTATAAAAGGCCTTTTCCATCAAGAATATTACAACCTTAAGATTGCATTATATATCAAAGTATTAATAAGTCTAGTAAAAGTGTTTTTTATACAGGTTGACAGCAAAGTGCTTGTACATTATGATGAAACAACACCCTTTGTTGCTGCTGCAAAACAAAAAGTGTCACACGGTTGAAACATGCAGCAAAGAAAAGAGGTTCGATATTCGATGAGTTCCCTGTATGTATGTACTCCGACCATTAGCGTTTCTGAGTGCTTCAAGAAGTCGGTGCATACATTTTGCGGGAGTTTTACATTAATTGCAAAACGGTTTTCGTCATAGAAAAGCGAAACGCCCAACGCATCGCAAAACGGGATGCTTTTACCCCTTTAAAAACGATATGTTTGAAATCACTTTAGCTTCGCCAAGCTTTTAAGGGACTACTCGGAATACAAAAGGTTTCGCAATTTGTCTTAATGGTAAAAAGTATTTTTCAAATCGA